ATATCCAAATGGCCAATAAGCATATGTTAATTACTATCATTACATATCAGAAAAATGCAAAATAAAATCACGGTGAGATTTCACTACACACCAGACTGGCTTAAAGTAAAAACATACCATCAGTGTGGGCAGCTCTTTCTGTCCACAGGTCCTGTACCTGTGCTTTAACAAAATTTTGCACCGAAAAAAAAGTGTTAGTGTGAATGTGAAACAACTGGGACTCTTTTACTGTGCTGATGGAGACAAAGAATAGAATGACCACTCTGGAACAGGTATTGGCTGTTTCTAATAAAGTTAAACATATGCCTACCCTGTGCCCAAGAGAAATAAATACCTGTTACTAGAAAAAAGACTTGTATAAAGGGGCACCTGGGTGGCTCAGTCGGTTAAGCATACTACTCCTGATTTCGGCTCGGATCATGATCTCAGGGTTATGAGATCAAGCACGGCATTGGGCTCCATGCTGGGCATGGAGCTTGCTTAAGATTCTCTTTCTCCCTCTCCATCTGCCCCCCCTTAAAAAAAAGGCTTGTGTAAGAAACTGCTAGCACCTTTATTCATAGCAGCCCTAAACAAGAAACAACATAATCCAATAAGAGAATGAATAAACAAATTTTGCTATATTCATACAATGAAATACTATGCAGCAATAAAAAAAGAATTATATTGATACAGACAAGAACATACCATAAAAGAAGCTCAAAATTATGTTGAGCTTAAGAATCTAGCCACAGGGGTGCCTGAGTGGTTCAGTCAGTTGAGCGTCTGACTCTTGATTTCAGCTTGGGTCATGATCTCATGGTTGGTGAGATTGAGCTGCTCATTGGGCTCTGCACTTAGAGCAGAGTCTGATTGGGATTCTCTCTCTCCTCTTCCTCTTCCCTCCACTCACTCACTCACTCTCTCATAAATAAATAAATAAATAAATAAATAAATAAATAAATATCTAAAAAAGAAGCTAGTCACAAAAGAATAGCGTACTTTATGATTCCATTTATATGAGGCAAAACTAATCTGTGGTCATAGAACTGAGAATAATGGTTGCCTCTGGGAGTGTAAAGATGTTGGTCTGACTAGAAAGAGCACAAGGAACTTTCTGGGGTAATAATGATTACATGGGTATATGCAAATGTAAAAATTTATCAAGCTGTACACTTAAGACATGTGCATTTTTATATGTAAATTATGCCTCCATTAAAAAAATCAATTGGTTCCTAAATTAGTGTTCTATATCTGAAAAATTCATATCAAACCCATATGCTAGAGACAGCAGTTTGGGATTTGTTAGTTTAAGCCTTAGTTAAAAGAAGGTACATTTGTAAATATCTCATAGAAAGCATGGAGCAGCAGCTCTGGAAAGAAAAACACATCTGTTTCATTCAGGCCCATTGTGACTTGCATGTGTCCCAGAGGCAATATTTGTCTCAACTTCACTAATAAAATAACTTAATTTCTTATATTCAGATTCTACCAGGCAGTTTTCTATTTCTTCTCTTTTTCTCTTCCTTAGTAGCACGTAATTCAGTCTAATCATGGATTCTAATTTTCATTTCTAATTTTCTGTGACCCATAACCCAACTTGACTCTTTCTACTTATCTGATACAGTTAGCCCCTAGTCACTATGCGCAAGCCCCAGTGCTCTATATCCAGAGGAGTAAATATAGCCCTTGACCTCAAGATTGGTCGAGGCAGAGAAGTCAATGATAACAACAGTAGTAATAATTTTAATAGGAAACATGGTTTGAATACTGACTTTAGGTTAGGCACTATCCAGAGCACTTTATATGAATTATCCAGTATCACAACAACCCTAAGAGGCAGTGCAGGATGTCAGGGTAAGACTGACATCTTTTGTATGAGGACAGAGATGAAGAACCTCTCTATTATCTCAAGTATTTCAACTCTGGCCCAATCCTCACTTCAGCAAAATAAAGCTGGATAACAAAACTCATTCTCTTTAGAAGTAATCTGCTGTAACTGCACATGTCTCTTGGAGATCTTACCTCCCGCCACACACACATACCCCATAATGTTCTCCTTGAAAAAAGTTTGGGTAAATATAAGGTTTTTTTTTTCCTTTTTGTAAATTGGTACCCTTATAAATTGGCACCCTTGATAACTGCCCATCTGACCACCATGTTTAGTTTTTGAGGTAGAAGCTGTCTTTAATCCCTGTTTTATTGATGAGAAAACTAAGGGTCAGGCAAGTTGAGTAATGTGCTTTTTTTTGTTTTGTATCGCTGTGTAACAAATTACTACAAATTTACTAGTTTAATACACATACACATTTATTATCTCACAGTTTCTCTAGGTCATGAGTCGGGCACAGGTTAGTTGGGGCCTCTGCTGGGTCTTAGAAAGCTGCAGTCAAGGTGACAGCTGGACCGCGTTCTAATCTGGAGCTCTCGGTCCCCTTCCAAACTCACATGGTTGTCGGCAGAATTTATTTTCTTGCATCTGTATGATAGATGGCTCACTTTTTGCTAGCTGTTAGCTGGAAACTGCCTTCTGCTCTAGAAGTCATTGCCACGTGACCCCCTTCACTGGTCTTCCCACAACATGTGAGCTTATTTCTTCAAGGCCACTCTCCAAAATTAGGGAGGGCACCAGACCCTTTTTTAAAGGACCACTTAATTAGGTCTGGCCCATATAAGATAATCTCCTTTTTATTAATTCAAAGCCAGCTGATGAGGAGGAGCCTTAGTTACATCTGTAACATTCCTTTGCCCATTTACTGTAGCATAACAACGGGATTCATATCTCGTCATATTCCCAAAGTCTACCCATACTGAGGGGAGGAGATAATACAAGGTGGGTACACCAAGAAGACAGGAATCTTGGGGACCATCTTAGAATCCTGCCTACCAACATGCACAGTCACCCATCAGGTAATTGGCAAAGCAGTGTGCTCTTTGAGCAAAGTATGCATCAAAATCATTATGTTGAACTGCCTCTCAAAAACAGAAAAAGTTAACTACCAAAAAAAAATTTTTTAATATTCCAAATACCTGACATTTATGAATACTTTAATAATTAGTACCATTAACATAAGTATCAGCTATGTCAATACCTAAAAATGCACGTATGTAAATAATGTTAAGGAACAAAAATAAGACTATAAAATAATACATACATGCTATTGTATATTGCTAAAACAAGGATTAGGAAATATATGATAATGTTAAATAGTTGATTTAAGTTTCCAGACCTTTAAAAAATTTACCCGTCATTTTTTAAATATAATAATTCTATAAAAAGATAGCTTACCATACAAAATAGCAGATGATAAATGTTAAATATTTGTTTTGACAGTAAGTGCTACAGAAGTTCAGAGTAGGGGAGATTAATGTGGACTAGAATTTCCCTTTAGTTGTAAAATAAGGTTAATTTTTTTATGAGGTAGTTTATCATAAATTTTGCCCTAGGACTGGTTTCTTTTCTGTAGCTTGCAACCTATTCAATGTCATCTGCTCAGTGTAAAGGATTATGTGTCTTCTTTGAAGAGGACCACATCTTTTTCCCAGATGTGGCTCATTGTCATTTGAATAGAACCCCTTTAGTATTGCTGTAGAAACTCAAAATCTTAAGAGTTCTTGTTAATAGCCCTCTTTTATCAGAAGATAGGAAACATGGTGTTGATGTATATCTGTTGACACTTTTTACCAATTTTTTACCAATCAGTTCATCATTTTCAACTACAGCAAAGTAAATTGGCAGGATTTTTCCCCCTTCTCCTAGAGACCTCAATTATTCATTTATTCCATGTCTCCAGAATAAGATAAGCATCTCAACTGTTTATGAGTTCTAATTTAAAAAGAAGTTGTGGTAGACTGGATAATACCCCCCCCCCAAATATGCCCATGTCCTAATTCCTGAAGCCTGTTCTAATTCCTGGAGCCTGTGAATGTCTCTTTCAATGACACAAAGGATTTTATATGACAAGAGACTTTATAGATGTGATTAAGTTAATGATCTGGAGATAAGGAAATTACCCAGGATTACCTGGGTGAGCCCCATGTTATCAAAACATGAGACACAGGAGGAGTCAGGTGTCCCATGATACAGATCAGTAGTTCTCAAAGTGTGGTCCCAGATGAGCAGCGTCAGTATCATCTGGCAACTGGCTAAAAACGCAGCTTCTCCAACTCTGCTCCAGACTTCCTGAATGCAAAACTCTGGGTATGAAGCCCAGCAATTCACATTTAACAGTTCCTCCAGGTGATTTTCATACATGCTAAAGTTTGAGGATCACTGATATAAACTAAGTTTTGCTCTCCCTGATAGAACAGGCTTGAGGCTAAAAAACCGGAAAGCTCACTCTATTGGCCTGCAACTACTTCCTTTCTGCATGAGTTGTATCAGGCTATAATCACTTGAACAGTTTAATTGAAAAATCACTTATGTTTATAGCTGAAATTAAATGTTTTGTATTTAAATAATTGCTTTTGATTAGAATCATATTTTTTGGAAAGTGCTTGGTTTTATTTGTGTGCTATAAAGATATTTATAAAAATTCATCAAATTTCTGGCAGTAACTAACATCTTATTCAGGAGAAGATGAAATGTTTTACAACAAATCTCATTGTGTGTAATGGACAAAGGGCATTAGAAAGGGTATTTAAGGTGGCTGAATGGATTTCTTGGCTTAGTATTTAAAAGTAAACATTTTAAGACATTAACATTTAATGTTTTTGTCTCTTCTCAAAGTTGATTTTATGTAACCCTCATTATTTGCAACATCCTGTCATCTTGCTTAAGCAGCAAATAGCAACACTTTCTTTTTATCATCCCTGTAGATTTACTGAAATGTAGATTGTTTGAAAATGGTTTTAGCTTTGTGGCACATGTCTGTTTAGCTGTGTGAATATGATCATTTATTATTTAAGAAGACAAAACAACAACTTCATTTTGGAAAACATATATCATTGATTTCTGAAAAGCCAAAAGAGCTCATTTCAGTGTACTCTTATTTGACAAATGATCTTGTGGTTCCTTTTAGGTATCCAGTAGGAAAAGCACTCTTCAGTCTTCGGCTATGGAACTAGATGGTTCCTACTTGAGTGTAGCCAAATCACAATCCTGCTATCAAACCAAGCAGAGGCCTAAGTCTGCAAACCAGGACTCAGCTTCAGAAGCCCTTCTGCAGTTTAGGAATAATTCTTTGAAACCAGCAGACTTCCGTTATCCCAAAACGGACCTAGACAGGGTGTCATCAAAGACCAGAACATGTGACTATGGATCTCCAGGGAGAGAACTGGCAGATACAGTCCCTACAGAGAAGGTTCCACCAGCAGAATTGAAGATGAAAGAATGCCAACCCCTGAAGCCTACTCCTCCCAGTCAGTGTTGTGGTCATAGACTTTCTGAAAATGTAGATCCTATTCATGAAAGCCATCCTATACACATGGCCCCTCAATATTCCAGAACACATCTGGAATCATGCAGTTATTGTGGGCTCTCCTGGACATCCCTGATGCATGGTCAAGGGACCCAGCAGTCTGGTGAAACTGATGTCAAAAAGCAACTCTCAGAAAATAGAAGACAGCAACTTATGCTTCAGAAAATGGAGCTGGAAATTGAAAAAGAGCGCCTTCAGCATCTGCTGACCCAGCAGGAGACAAAGCTTCTCCTAAAACAGCAGCAGCTTCATCAGTCTCGACTGGATTACAATTGGTGAGTCTTATTTGTTCTTTCAGCAATGTCTGTAGCTTGGAGAACACGGTGTAAAGTAACTGTTGTGCTACTCTAACACTTGCGAAGGAACAGAGGTTCCTCGGGGGCTTGGCTTGCTCAAGATGCATGCTCACTAGGACAACTAAGTAAATTCCACTATCTCATTTGGAAGACTTGGAAGATTACCTTGTCTTCCAGAATGTTAGCTTAGAATATCTACTTCTAAGTGGTCCATTGTCACTTTTGCTGGACTCCAAAGGGAATATTTTTAAAAGAAATGATTGTATAAAAACGCTTTGCTGTTTGTGATCATTATAGAGAATAATGGGCATTAAGTAAAAATTTGAGACTTCAGGATGTGGAAACAGATAGTGAAGCAGAGTGATTAACTATCACCATTCCATATTTATGTCTATCCACCATAATACAAAATACAACAAATGATAGGAGCCTTTTCAGTTCAGCCTTTTCTCATCATGAAGCATAACCTGTTCAATAACCAATTCTTATAAACTTACCTACATTTAAACTCTTCTTCCCTTAACAATTCTTCCCTAAGAACAGTGTTTCAAAAAACTAAATTGGTATTTTGAGATTATGTAGCTCAGCATAGTTTTCCATGCAGCATCATAAAGTTTGCCATCTTAATTTATTCAAGCAAAATTATTAAATCAGACACAATTATATTTAAACATAATAATATGTTATTTAACATATTTAACATATTCCACCAGTGGAAATGAAGATGAAAGAATGTTAAAATAACATATTTTAAACATAATATGTCACTTATGTCTTTAAAAATAAATTAGAAGTTGTCATAAGGAAATGCTTGTGTATATATATATATATATTTATATATGTGTATATATATATATTTATATATGTGTATATATATATATATATATCCCTGCCATTTCCTTCTTGATCAAACTTACTATTTCCCCGTTTATACACACTCATACATCCTATACAGACACACTTAATATGAATGTCATTTTCTTTTACTTCTTAATTTTCTCTCACTTAAAGATTCTGCCTAATATTTTTTAGATTCTAATTTCTTTGAGAGTTCCGTCTTGACATTTTTCCATGAGTGTAATACTTTTCTTGGAACCAGAAATTCTCTTCCTCTTTCTCTTCATTCATGGTCAGACAGTTCTATTCTTCACTGTTGAAAGCTGGAGGCATTTAACGTAACTGAAAATGAAGGTTCTTACAAGATTGTCACCAAACTCCAAAAGGTTGCTTCAGTTTTATAACCCCAGTCTCTAATCCTCCAGTTAATGTGTCGTCTCTCCTAAGAATGTTATTTAACAAACGTTTATAAAATGCCTGTGATATGTCAGAAATGGTTTTAGGCTAGAAAATGAATCAAATGTGCTCTTTAAAGAGGGCACAGTCCAGGAGGGGAGAATGGATAATTTTAGAATAGGTATCATGTTCATTTGAAAGCACTGTTTATTGAAATAATGCTGCATAATGACAATAAAGTCTTTATTGTTCTCTTGATCATCCTCGCTTAGATGAGAGAGCTATGAAACAGTTTTTGAGCAAGTTTTATTTATGTATAAATTGCAAAAGTTTATACGTATTTATAGAGCTTTTATAAACTTTTTATTTTGAAATAATTAGAGATTGACAGGAAGTTGCAAAAACAATAGAGGTTCCCCTCCAGTTTTTCCCAATGGCTATGTCTTACATAACTATAATGCAATGTCAAAATTAGTAAATTAACATTGGTACAATGTGTGTGTCTACCTCTATGCCATTTTACACGTGTGTAGACTTGCATAATCACCACAGCAATCAAAATATAGAACTATTTCATCACTATCAAGATTTCCTTTTTACTACCCTATTTGAGTTGCCTACCCTTTTCTGCCCCCACCATCCCTAATCCTTGGAACCCACTAATCTTTGTCTGTATCTATAATTTTGGCATTTTGAGAATGTTATATAAATGAAATTATACAGTGTGTGAACTTTTGATAGTGGCCTTTTTCACTCAGTACAATGTTCTTAAGATCCATCTAGGTTGTTACATATATTGTACCTTTTGATTGCAGAGTCGTCGTCCATGATATGGCTATACCGTGATCTGTTTAACCATTTATCTATTGAAGGACAACTTGGTTTTTTGCCTGTTACAAATAGAGCTGCTATGTACATTTTTATACAAGTTTCCGTGTGGACTAAGAAGGTTCTCATTTCTACAAATTAAAGCTAGCACTGTGATTGCTAGATCATATGATAAGTGTCTATTTAGTTTTAAAAAATTAAATCTACATTTAGCTTATACATTTAGTATAAAATACTTCTTCTCCAGCAATGTATAGGGGACTTTTTCCTCTATATCCTTACCAGCATTTGGAATTGTCACAGATTTTTTATTTTGACTGTTCTAATCTGTGTATAATGATACTTTGTTGTGGTCTTAATTTACATTTCTCCAATGACTAATGATGTTGAAAATCTTTTCATTTGCTTGTTTGCCCTTCTTCCATCTTTTTGGGTAAATTGTTTCTTTAATATCTTTGTCTTTATTCTTATTGGATAGCTTAAGGTTTTTTTTACTGTTGAATTTTGAGAGCTTTTTATATATTCTAGATATGTCCTTTCTCAAATATGTGGATTGCAAATATTTCCTCCTATTCTGTAGCTTATCCTTTTAATCCCTTAACAGGATCTTTAACATAGCAAGAGGTTTTAATTTTGGTGAAGTTTAATTTATCAATTTTTTTCTTATAGATTATATAAAATTTTTATCATGAATGTTTTTTATGCATCAATTGATGTGATCATGTGATTTTTTAAAATTTAGCCTGCTAATATGGTAGATTACATTTATTGATTTTTGAATATTGCTCTAGTGTTGCATCCCTGGAAAATAAACCCCATTTAGCTACAGTGTAAAATACTTCTTATATATTACCAAATTCCATTTACTAATATTGTGTTAAGGGCATTTGCATCAATACTGGTGAGGGATTTTGGTCTGTATTTTTGTTTTTTGTACTGTCTTTGTCTAATTTTGTTATCAAGGTAATACTGGTCTCGTTTATTTCATTCATTTCTTTTATTATTTTCTTCCTCCTGCTTGCTTTGGATTTATCTTGCTCTTCTATTTTTAAATTTCTTAAGGTGGGAGCTTAGATTATTGATTGGAGAATTCTTTTCTGGTGGAAGCATTTATTGCTATACATTTCTGTCTCAGCACTGTTTTAAGTATGTCTCACAAGTTTTGGTATGTTCATGTGTTCACTTAGTATAATGTTCCTCTAGGTTCCTCCGTGGTGTTGCAACTGTCTGGGTTTCCTTCTTTCTCATGACTGAATAATACATATGTATTTTTATGTATCTCTTTTTACCATTTATTTGTCGACAGACACTTAGGTTGTTTTCATTACAAGTAACACTGCAGTGAACATGGGGTACAGATATCTCTTTAAGATACTAACTTCATCCCCTTTGAACAGATACCCAGAAGTAGTACTGCTGGATCATATGGTAGTTCTGTTTTTAATTTTCTTGAGAAACTTCCATATTGTTTTTCATAATAGCTGTACCAATTTACATTCCCACCAGCAGTGTATAGGGATTTCTTTTCTCCATATCCTGCCCATTTGTTATCTTTTTTTCCTTTTGATCAAAGCCAACAGAACAGGTGTGAGGCAATATCTCACTGTAGTTTTGATTTGTATTTCCCTGACAATTAGTGATGTTGAGCATCTTTTCATGTACCTGTTAGTCACTTATTTGTCTTCTTTGGAAAAATGTCCTTTCAGTGCCTCTTCCCATTTTTTAATTGGGTTATTTGGTTTTTTGCTGTTGCGTTGTGTTAGTTCCTTGTATATTTTGAATATTAACCCTTGATCACCTTTATCATATATATAATTAATCCCATATCATATATGTAATTTGCAAATATTTTCTCTCCTTCCATAGGTTGCCTTTTCATTTTTATAATTTATTTATTTTGCTGTGCAGAAACCTTTTATCTTGATGTGGTCCCACTTATTTTTGCTATTGTTGCCTGAGCTTTTGGTGTCAAATCCAAAAAATCATTGCCAACACCAATGTCAAGGAGCTTTTTCCCTATGTTTTCTTCTAGTAGTTTTACAGTTTCAGGTCTTACATTTAAGTCTTTAATCCAGTTAAGATTAATTTTTCATTCTGAGTATTTTGTTGTTTTTGATTCATTGGTAAATGGGATTGATTTCTTAATTTCTTTTTTAGATAGTTCATGTGAGTGTATAGAAATGCAACTGATTTTTGTATGTTGATTTTGTATTCTGTAAATTTAGTGAATTCGTTCATTAGTTCTAACAGTTGTTTGGTGGCATCTTCATTGTTTTTTATGTATAAGATTGTGTCACCTGCAAACAGAGACGATTTTACTTTTCTTCCTGATTGGGATATCTTTTATTTCTTTTTCTTGCCTAATTACTCTGGCTGATACTTCCAGTATTATGTTGAATAAAAGTAGGAAGAATAGATATCCTTGTCTTGTTCCTGATCTTAAAGGAAAAGTTTTCAACCTTTCACCATTGAATATGATGTTAGTAGTGGGCTTGTGATATATGCCCTTGATTATGTTGAATTATGTTCTTTCTATGCTCAGTTTCTTGAGAGCTTTATCATGAAAGGATGTTAAATTGTGCTAAATGCTTTTCCTGCTATTGAGATGATCAATGATTTTTATCCTTTATTCTATTAATGTGGTAAATTCCATTTGATAGTATTTTGTTGAGAATTTTTTTCATCTATATTCATTACAGATACTGACCTATTTTTTTTTTCTTGTAGTGTCCTTAACTGGCTTTGGTATTCGGCTAATGCTGCCTTATAGAATGAGTTTGGGAGTGTTCCTTTCTATTAAATTTTTTGGAATTATTTTATCTTATTTTATTTTTAAAGATGTATTTATTTTATTTTAGAGAGAGAGAGAATGGGGATGGGAGACAGAGGGAGAGGGAGAGAGAATCCTCAAGCAGACTCTGTTCTGTGCTCAGAGCCCCACTCAGGACTCAATCTCACAACCCTGAGATCATGACCTGAGCCGAAACCAAGAATCAGACACTTAACTGACTGTACCACCCTTGTGCCCCTGGAAGAATTTTAGAAGGATTTGCATTAATTCTTCTTAAAATGCTTAGTAGAATTCACCAATGAAACTCTCCAGTCCTGGATTTTTCTTTGTTGGAAGGTTTTTGGTCACTGATTTAATCTCCTTAGTCATTTTTGGTCTGTTAAGATTTTCTGTTTCTTCATCATTAAGTCTTGGTAGGTTATATATTCCTAGGAATTTATCATTTCTTCTAGGCTATCCAAATTTTGGCATATAGCTATTTATATTAGACTCTTACCATCCTTTGTAATTCTGTGGTATCAGTTATAACATCTTCTCTTTCATTTCTGATTTTATTTGAGTCTTCTCTCTTTTTCTTCTTAGTCTATCTAAGAGTTTGCTAATTTTGTTTATCCTTTCAGAAAACCAGCTTTTAGTTTCAGTAACCCTTTCTATTATTTTTCTGGTCTCTGTTTCTGCTCTGCTCATTGTTATTATCTTCCTTCAGCTAACTTTGGCCTTAGTTTGTTTTTCTTCTTGTGGTTCCTTGAGGTGTAAATGTAGGTTGTTTATTTGAGATCTTTCTTTTTTCTTACTATAGATATTTATCACTCTAAACTTCCCTCTTAAAACTGTTTTGACCTATTCCATAAGTTTTGGTATGTTGTGTTTCTATTTTCGTTTGTTTCAAGATATTTTTTGGTTTCCCTATTGATTTCTTCTTTGACTCATTGGTTGTTCAGGAGTGTATTGTTTAATTTCCACTTGTGAATTTTCCAACTTTCCTGTTACTTACTGACTTACAGTTTTATTCCATTGTGTTTGGAAAAGGTATATTTCAGTCTTCTTAAATTTGTTAAGTGTTGTTTTGTGACCTAACATGATCTATCCTGGAAAATGTATTTATACCTGAAAAGAATACGTATTCTGCTGCTGTTGGATGGAATGCTCTGTATCTGTCTATTAGGTCTGTTTTATATAAAGTATATTCAAGTCCAGTGTTTCTTTGATGTTTGGATGGTCTATCCATTGTTGAAAGTGGTGTTTTGAAGTCATCTATTGTTATTGTATTGTTGTCTATTTCTCCCTTTAGATATGTTAGTTTTTGCTTAATAAATTTGGGTGCTGCAATGTTAGGTACATATATATTTACAATTGCTAATATACTCTTGATGAATCAACCTTTTTATTATTATATAGTGATTTTGTCTCTTTTTACAATTTTTGATTTGTCGATTTTGTCTGATATAAGTAGAGCTACCCCTCCTCTCTGCACTGACCTACCTATATGTCACTACCAAATATTATTATTAAATTTTAAGTTCCTAGAGGGTAATTAATCTACACATTTTCTTTGTATATTACTGTACATAGTTAGTTGCAGCTATAAGACTGTCTTTGACAATGGTGGAAATGATACTGTTTTAATAATATCTTCCCTTCTTCATGGTTTTATTTCATAGTTAAAAGAATATACTTTTATAGATTTCATTTCTAAAAATGAACCAGAGAATATTTCTAAAAAACTTAGAAAAATGGGTAAAGATGTTACGTATTGGGTGCCAGTGATCAATTGCTACCCAAACTTCTGGTAGAACATGCTAATTTCTTTAGATGCTTTCCCTCCTCAGTACATCAAAGATGGGAGTAAGTTAGCATCGTTAGATAGAATTTCTTCCAGTTTTGGCAGGGGAGGGACATTTTTCTGTTATCCTGAGAAAATACATTGGTCAGTGAGACATAGGCCCAGCTTTTTGAATTGTCAATATGGGAAGTAGTTGCCTCCTATGGATCTATCGGGCAGGGTCAATGATACTTGGTGTTACTAGAATTCCCATTAAGACTCTGGTGATCAAAATACACTTGCTTAGGAGTGAAGAGAGAGAAACTTAAAATTTCTAGGGAAGAAACTTAAAGTACTCCTAAAGCATCTATAATGTTGACATTTTGAATGATATTCTGACCAACTCAGTCTCCCCCAATTCCTCTATAAATAAAGAAAATTTAAGTTCTGTAAAATGGATTTGTGTTTATTTTATTTCATTTACATCATGTGTGTATTTAGGAAGTACCCATTTATTTTGACAGACTGAGTTTTAATTTGAAAATAATCTCTGGAGGTCTAGCTGAAGGAATATGGTCTTCCAAGGGTTACCATTCAGTTTCTTAGGTTCCACGGGATTAGAAATTCTCTAAATTTACTTTTTCAGGTTAAGAACTCAAGCTGTATTTAAGTCAAGAGAACTCCTTGCTGCTAAAGAGTTTACCAAACCCCGAGAATTCAATCTGGATATGAATGGGGATGACTCTGGACCAAGGTAAACCTGACTAATGGGTGAGAGTAAGAACATGTAGGACACAGATATTAAGGATATGTTTGGTATATATTTATAGCTTTATATAGGTTTATATCAGTTTTCTGATAATATGAATAAATACATTCTCATTATAAAATTTTTTTAAAATATAGGAAAGTGTAAAGAAGAAAATAATCATTCATGATCCTACCATTCAGAGATGATCCTTTGAACCCTCTCCTTTCTGTCTTTCTTTTATGATAACATATTCTATATTGAGTAATAGGGATTATGCTTATGCAGAATTTTAATTTTTGCTTTTTTCACTGAATCATATTTTCTGATATCATAATTTATTTTATGAAAACTTGATATTAATTCATTCAACAAATATTTATTGACAAATATTTCTCTATTAGCCTATTATTGGATAATACAGGATTTTGCTATTATAAATTATGCCTTGAAGAACATTTGTATGAATAAATTTTTTACTTTATCTCTACCTGTGTCTTTGATATAGATTCTATAAATGGAACCACTAACTCAAAGTATATATGAATCCTTTTAAGATTGATTCACATTACCCAGTTGCTTTCCATAAAAGTTAAATCAGTTTTTACCACCAAAGCTGTGTTTGAGAATTCTCTTTTCATGAAATTTGAATAATTTTTGGCCATTATTTTTTCAAAAATTTTTTGCCTATTCTCTTTTTTCTTTCCTTTTTGGATTTCATTTATAGGTATATTAGGCCTTTAGTGAAGTCCCTGACTCTCTGCTAATTTTTTAGAAATTTTTTTCTTTATTCTTCATAGTGGATAATTTCTATTTATCTGTTCTCAAATTCATCCACTCTTCTGTTATTTCCAATCTGCTGTTAAGCCCATAGAATGATTTATTTTTATTTAGATAATGGATTTTTTAGTTTTAGAATTTCCATTTGGATCTTTGTTAGAATTTCTATTTCTCTGCTGAACTTTCCTTTTTTATTCATTACACATATATTTTTCCTTTAAAATGCTTGTCTCCAATTCTAACACCAGGATCATCTTGGGATTTGTCTCCATTGATCAACTTTTCTCTTAAGTATTGGTCATGTTTTCCTTTGTACATTTAGCAAATTTTTATTTTTTCCTAGTATTTTGAATGACTCTGGAATTTAGTTATAGTCTCTAAACAATGTTAATTTTTATGTTAGCAAGCTGTTAACTTAACTGGATTCAAAGACCAACCTCTGTTTCCCTTGAGTAACAGTGAAAATCACTGCTGAGTGCTTTTAACTTTAACTGGGATGGATGTTTGAGTCTGCCTCATTTGCATGTAGTTCAGGGGCTAGACAGAACTGGCAGGGTTGTTATACAGAATTTGAGGCTTTCACTCTTTCTCCCTGACCTCTCCAGGATTTTTCCTTTTTCAGGTGCTTTGGTCAGCTCAGACTCTGTCCTCTGATTCTTTAGGTCCCAATGCCACTGTCTTCTTTCAAGTGCTGATCCTCTTCCAGTTTCTGCTTGTTTTCATTGACTCTTCAGTGCTTCAGGTTTGGTTTTTTTTTTTTTTGTTTTTTGTTTTTTCCTCCAAGAGTTTATATTATTAATTATGGGAGTTTGGTCCTATAGATACTACTCAGCCAGTGTTAGAAGCAGAACCCAAGAATTCTCATTTCGTACAATTTTGCCATCTTTTAATTTTGGTAAAATACACATAATATAAAATTTACCATCTCAACCATTTTAGTGTACAGTTCAGTAGTATTAAGTATATTCACATTATTATGTAACCAATCTGCAGAACTTTTTTATCTTGCAAAATTGAACCTCCCTACCCATCAAACTGCTCCACATTTCCTCTCCCTGCCAGCACCTGGCAACCACCCTTCTACTGTCCGTTTCTATAGTTTGATTACTCTAGTTACCTCATATAAGTGGGATCATATAGTATTTGTCTTTTTATGACTTGCTGTAATTTATTTAATTTTTACTATTGATATCAAGCATATGCATAGTTTAAAAACTCAACTCGTTCAACAAGGCTTATGCAAAATAGCATCCTCCTCTACAGTGGAGCAGCAGTACTCCCAATTTTCACTCTTCAGAGATAAGAAGTTTTAACTGTTTTAGATGTTTCTTCTTTTATTTGTTTCTTGCAGCATTATATCCATATTTCTGGATGACGTAGGCATTGAGTATTAGCTTTCTGATATGAAAGATGATGACTTAGCTCTCACAGATAACCATCTATTGGCTTTCTCCATCTCTTCTGACTTTTCCCCACATTTCTTCCTTCTCGCCTCCTTTCCTTTTTCTCTTCCCCCCCTAATATATGTACCCACACACATGCTTTTCCCTTTATTCTGTCCTCTAAATATAGCTGTATCACAAGATGGTTACAATAAGACTGTATCTATTTAATACACAGCTGGGCCATATACTATATGATTATTAAATTTAATTTTTATTTTCTCTAGAGCTTAGAAATGCCTTATTTAATTTTCTGTGTACTCATTCATTTGTTAATTCATTCAAATATTTATAAAGTTTCCCACCAGGTGTTAGACACATTCTAAACTTTGGGGGTTATACCAATGCACAAAACAAAAATTTCTGACCTTATGCAATTTACATTCTCATATCTTGTAATTCCCAAACTCACCCAGAAAGTTTAATTCTCTGAATATATTTAAACACATTAGTTATTCTATCATATCTTCATTGTATTCTTTTGCTGCTATATTCCCTTCTTTCTTCTTTGTTTTTTGTTTTTTTAAGATATCCCTCCTGGAGCCCTCTGTTATCCTGTTTATATATTTACTTGCTTGCTTATGGTAGAAAAAAAATATATAAATGCTGATAAGACAAAAGAAGAATTTAACACATACCTATAATCTCATCATCTAAGGAAAATTTTAGTATATAACTTCTAGATCTTATTTCTTTATGGTATATGATATGTATTATATTACATATTTTGTTTCATATTCCACTTTTTTAGTTCAAATATAATTAACATACAGTGTTATATTTGTTTCAGTGTACAACATAATGATTCAACAATTCTGTACATCACTCAGAGCTCATCAGTATAAGCATACTCTTGATGCCCTTGATCTATTTCACCCATTCCCCTGCCCACCTCCCCTCTGGTAACCATTGGTTTGTTCTGTATATTTAAGAGTCTGGTTTTTGTTTGTGTCTTTTTTCTTTGTTTGTTTGTTTGGTTTATTCGTTAAATTTCACATCTGAGTGAAACCATATGGTATTGGTCTTTATCTGTCTGACTGATTTCACTTAGCATTATATAATACCCTCTGAGTTCACCTGTGTTGCCACAAATGGCAAGATCTCCTTTTTTTATGGCTGACTAATATTCCAGTGTGTGTGTGTGTGTGTGTGTGTGTGTGTGTGTGCGCGTGCACGCACACTTGCCACATCTTTTTTTTTTTAATTTTAATTCCAATATAGTTAATATACAGTGTTAGTTTCAGGTGTCCATTATAATGATTCAACAATTCTATACATTACTCAGTGCTCGTCAAGATAAGTGTACTCTTAATCCCCTTCACCTATTTCACCCATCCACCCACCCACCTCCCCTTTGGTAACCCTCTGTTCTATAGTTAAGAGTCTGGTTTGGGGTTTATCTCTTTGTTTTTCCTTTTCATTTGTTTTGTTTCTTAAATTCCACATATGAGTGAAATCATATGGTATTTCTCTTTCTCTGATAGACTTATTAGTTCACTTAGCATAATACTCTCTAGATCCATCCATGTTTCAAATGGCAAGATTTCATTCTTTTTTATAATTGTGTATATATATACCACATCTTTTTCTTCCATTTATCTATAGATAGACACTTGGGTTGCTTCCATATCTTGGCTATTGTAAATAATGCTGCAATAAACACAGGAGTGCGTGTGTCTTTTTGAATAGGTGTTTTTGTTTTCTTGGGGTAAATGCCCAATACTGAAATTACCGGATCATATGGTAATTCTATTTTTAATATTTTGAAGAAATTCCATACTGTTTTCTACAGTGGCTGCACCAATTTGCATTCCCACCAATGGTGCATGAGGTCCTTATTCTCTGTGTCTTAGCCAATACTTGTTATTTCTTGTATTTTTTTTTTATTTTAGCCATTCTTACAGATGTAAGGTGATATCTCGTTGTGATTTTGATTTCCACTTCTCTGATGATTAGTGTTGTTGAGCATCTTTTCATGTGTCTGTTGGCCATATGTATGTCTTCTTTGGAAAAATGTCTATTCAGGTTCTCTATCTAATTTTTAATTGAATTATTCATTTTTTTGGTGTCAAATTCTATAAGTTCTTTATATACTTTGGATAGTAACCCCTCTAATAAGATGATTATGTGGTTTTTATTCTTTCTCTTATTAATGTGATGTATCACATTGATTGATTTGTGAATATTGAATCACTCTTGCATCCCTGGAATAAATCCTACTTTATAGTGGTGAATGATCTTTTTAATGTAATGTTGGATTCAGTTTGCTAATACTTTGTTGAGGATTTTTGCATCTATGTTTATCAGAGATACTGACCTATAGTTTTTTGGTTTTGGATCTTTTTGGTTTTGGTTTTGGGTTTTTTGCGGGGGTGCTTTTGGGTTTTCTTGGTTTCTTGTAGTACCTTTATCTGGTTTTCGTGTTAGGGTAATGCTGGCCTCATAAAATGAATTTGGAAGCTTTCCTTCTTCCATTTTTTGGAATAGTTTGAGAAGAATAGGTATTAACTCTTTTTTAAATGTTTGGTAGAATTCATCTGTGAAGCCATCTGATCCTGGACTTCTGTTTGTTGGGAGGTTTTTGATTACTGATTCAATTTCATTGGCTAATAATGGGTCTGCTCAACTTTTCTGTTTCTTCCTGATTCAGTTTCGGAAGGTTATATATTTCTAGGAATTTATCTGTTTCTTCTAGATTGTCCAGTTTGTTGGTATATAACTTTTATAATTCTTTGTATTTCTGTGGTGTTGGTTGTCATATCTCTTCCTTCATTTCTGCTTTTA